GCACATAAATGTAGGAAGAAGATTGCCTAACATCAGCACATACATTTTGTGTTGAAAGTTTTCTGCAGGTTATTTTTTTGATTTCTCCAGAAAGATCGGTCTTTGTCAGTGGTTCATCTGTGGCTATCTTGTTAAGAGATACTTGTTCCAATATGATTTCTAAAGAAGTGTATTCTTTGCAGTATCTTTTCCCTTACCATCTGCTGAAGCAAAAAACATCCTAAATGGGGTCAGTTTTCACATTGTTAGCATCCCTAACATAATGGTGACTCCATCTGGGCTTATTACTGTTATTTGTCACAGGTAGGAACTGAAGAAAGGTAGAAAACACAGCACTGAAAGAGGTAAAGCTTACTGATAATGGGAAAACTGTCCCTGCTTACGCTGTTTCACGCAAACACATCCTTTCAAGTAGTCAAGAGGTTACGGAAAGCTTCATTTGCCTATGTCTACCACACTGATTATTCACTTTAATATCTGAAATAGGGGATAATATGAAATAATAGCAACTCTTCTCCAACTAGGACAATCAAACAAAAGTAAAGAAAAATAAGCTGAAGTGGAAACAAGACTAAAAAAAGAAGGAAGACATTTTTCTATTTCAACAGGAATGAACTACATAATTCAAAAGTGATACCAACAAAAGAGTAAGTCATGAGAAATAAAAAAAAATAATAAAACCTTCAGTGATATCAATGAAGGGTCACTGATTTATAAAGCAGAACATTTCATAAATTATGCTCCCCTGACATATATATTTCAAGTGCAACATGTTGAGAACATGACATTCAACGAGATAGTAGAACTCAATAGGGCTGATGGGCCTTTTAGTCTGTCTCTTATGAATTAAATATTTACTAAAATGGAATTGTGTGATGAATAGGCGGTAGTCTGAAATATACCCTGATTAATTTTACTAATAACCTATCCACTATCTTAATTTTAAGAAGGCATCACAGAATGACAGATTTCAGAGTAATATAGCATAAAGAAAGTAAAAGCTGCAGACAGACAACTAAGCGGAATGTTACACTCTATATACACATAATCCCTGACTCCTTGTAAAGGAAGGAACAGTGCACTGGCACATTCATTTTAATTTACTTTTTAGTGGCAATTAGTTTCCCAATACAATTCTTTTTTTGATAAAACACGACATTTTATAATCCAGTCAAATTTTATATTTTTAATTCCAATCCTACTCATCTATTAATCAAATGGAAATTTGAAAGTCCCTACCAAAAACGCTTGCTGCAAATGTACTGCAAAGAGATGGCTCTTAGCATTTAATAGAGATTCCATAACTGAAAACTGAGTGTTGATACTTCATTTTCCCTTTCTTTAAAAAACAGTCTGTCGATTATGGAGCCACTGCTTTGTAAATTTCTGCTGCAGATGATGGAGAATTTGGCAATACACATACACACCAAAACTCAAAGAAAGGATATATAGGCCAGGCTTAGAGTTTACCACAAAGCTATTAAAATCAGTTATTGAAGGGTGGTTGGTTAAATGAGGCAGGCTTTTAGTCAAGCAGTTCTCTACTGGACTCCATTCCAGAGGCTAATCAGTGGTGGGACTCCTGCTGTTCTCCCTCACCCAGTTCCCAGGCTTTCAAATGGCCAGTGAGGGTTGAGAATCATTGTTTTGGTTTTGTAATATAAGCAACTACCAAGAGTTCCTTACAGAGTCAGATCTACCCAGATACTTTGCTAACTTTCTAACCTCAAGAGGGTCTTTGCAGTTTCCATTAAACAGATTGTAACTACAGGTGCTTGTTGGGAGTGTGCAGCTGCAAATAAATACTGGATATGTAGGAAAAGAGAAAATAAAATTTTTTGAAAACTGTCCAAAAGATGGATTCAGACTGTGAGTTAAGGCAGGCCCTTTGTGGTCTGTTTCTTTTTGAATTTGTATTCTGAATTTGTATCAACTTCTCCGAAGCTTTCACTTTCATCTTATGGATCGTTGGGCTTATAAATATCTCATAATTGAGTGATAATGTGACAATTCCAAATGCCTAGATATATATAAAACTGCCCAATATATAGAACGTGAACATTTTAGAAACCTACGCCATTCATTCATTCACCCATCCATCTGTCCATCCATTCATTCATTAAATAATTACTGAGAACTCTCTATCACTAGGCATTGTTCTAGGTACTGGTGATACTGTAGTAACAAAGGAAAACAAATCCCTCCTCTCATGAATCTTATGCTGGTGAGCCGGTTTCTGAATAACATCAACAACATTTTGCTCATCTATATGTAATAATTTGAAACCTTTACAGAGATAAAGGCAATAAAATGAAAAATTTTAATATAGATAAGGAAAAAAAAATAAAACTAGGAAAACAGCAATGGTATAATAACCTTGGTGAACTTTAAAATAATCCAGAGTAAATAGCCTGAAAGGTGGTTAGAACAATTCAAAGGTAAAATAAATTGCAACTGATGTTAAATAAAATTAAAAACTTCAATACATTCAAAAACATAAAAATCAAACTCCTTTAAAACACTGATTTTTTTGTTTTTATTTTTTGATCAAGGGTTGTACCCCAGAATATTTGTGACGCTCTTAAAATATTTAGAGCCCTGGGTCTCAATTACAAACCCTGTGGGGTCCAAAAATACATAGATTCACATGGCCCAGAAGTGGTTCTGATATGGATTTTAAAGCCACTGTCTGGGGGTGGGGTGAAAAACTCGGCAAATCCTCATCCTTTCCAAAAAACTATGACACTGGAAAATATTGTCAAAAACAATCATTACTTCCACCTTAAATGAACAAGTAACAATTTTACCTTCCAGATAATTTATTGGTGGAATCATTTTAGTCTGCTGGTGTCTCTGGCCTATCATACCATGTGCTCCTGCTCTCTTCTCCCGGCCCCTTTGTCCACCCACAGTGACACTTTCACTCTTTTTATGCACATTAGAAGATTTCATACTCAGGTCCTGAATTTTCCCCATTAGTGCTGACAGAGTAGTTTTGAAAGAGAGATTTTTTGAAAGGACTTTTTTTTTTTAATATCAACCAAACGTGTTTTATATGGCTGAGATGTTCATGTCAGGCCTCTAAGACATCTTCATCCATCTATCAAAGAAATTATGATAGAACGCCACTGAAGAATGGAAATGCCAAGAGACATGAAATGGGGTAAAACAGAGGACTTCAGAAGCCTCTCATTAGTGGGGAAAACATACAGGCAGAGAACGCGCACGGGCAAGCATCGGCGTCTCCAAAGACGGTAGCAGTTAAAAGAAAAGTGGAAGCTAATGACATGGCAGATAAGAGGCAGCCCTTTCTAAAGTGTCACATGACGTTCCTTTCTGGGAACAAGGAGCCTGGCCCATGCTTCCTGATGTGCTTCTGAACCAGCCTTTGTAGCAAAAGAGACAATTTCACTAACTTTTTAATTAACGTGTGTCCTTGCTAATAGACATTGTGAATGGGCCGCTTTTTCCTTCCCATTATGGCTTCGATTTTAGATTTAATTACTGTGGAAATGAATCAGGAAACATGACTTCAGGCATTGTGTTTTAAATGTCAGCACAGTGACAATGTTAATTCTCTATTTCAAAGTATCAGCGGCATCCCATCTTTGTGATGAGTGATGTGAAAATAATTTTAGGAAGGAGGTTACTGACCCAGGGACCCTGCAAGCCACGAGAAGATCACCTGTTAGTTGCAATTTGGAAAGGTTTTGTTTGGATAATGACTTGGTTTTATGTTGCGCATACTTATAACTACTTATATATAAAGAAACTGTGCTCTTCAAGTGTTACATGTGAAAGGATCAAAGCCCATTAACTTGGGTCGAGGTGAGCTAATGAAATCTAACCTCTATGCATATTACCAAGATCCAGCCACATTCTATTCTACTGTCTAAAATGAGTAGGGGAAATATTTACAATTATTTTATCTTTCATGTCATGAGCTGTAAGCCATGGAAATACAGTGAAGTTACTAAGTGGTTAGTCCTCCAGTAAAATGTGTATTTGGAAGACAAACACACAAAAAACAACAAAACCTTAAAATGACCTTCAAAGAAAGAAAGGTGAAGACAAGTGAGGTACCTTCTCATACAATCCAGTGCTCGAATAAAGAAGTCCTTGTGCAACTGGTGCTCATCTCTCAAGATCGAACACTGTTCAAGCGTCACTGACATCGACGTCCTGTCTTTGGCACTTTTACAGCAGGTAAAACGGATACCATTTAGTTTGCGACAAATCTGTAACACAGACATATACACGGTGTATGGTTCATTTGTAGGTTATCCAGTGTGGGACTCCTCTAAACTATTCTTGTTTAAACACACCAAATTTATGTTAATTTATGACAGTCAATGGGTGCAATCTGCTCTATTGGATGTAGAAACATAACCTTTTCATTTCGGAAGCTAGGGAAATGATTTAATTGAGTTAGTTCTGTGTATGGTGTGAGGTGTGGGATGGTTGAAGCCATATGAGATGGTAAATATCCAGCAGAGGCAGCCGAGTTCCCAGCAAGGGGGCCTGAGCGGCCATGGGTGATGATAATACTCACAGCTCAGGAAGCAACGCTTTCACTATGAAGGGGAAAACCATCTGTATAGCCTGGATCAGACATACTTGATCTGAATCCTACATAACTAATATTATCTTACTTTACATTTAAGCCACCTTTGGAAGTCTTGGTTTCATGTCATGAGATTTCAAACATCCACATAGTGCCAGCACAGGAAATAAGGGAATCACTAAACACTCATTAATACAGCTAATAAGAATAAAGACCCCCAAAATGGTCACTGATAATTGCATATCTGCACCAGGTACCCTGCTGATAAATTTCCTGTAAATTTGCTTTTCATTAACTGCACATGAACCCTGGAGGAAGGTATAATTATTCTCATTTCACAGCTGAAGATTTTGAGGTGTAGGTAGGTTAAGTAGCTTGTGTGCTACAGAGCAAAGCCAGGATGCTAACTGCCTAATTCCGAGGACCAACTCTTTAACTTCTGTCCTATTCTATTTCTCTCTGGAATGCTTTCTTTTTGCTATGCTGATGTAAATCAGGAGACTGAGCAGCAAGAATCTCTTTTCTCATCGCCTGTGGTTAACAGGGGAATCATTCCGAACTCCTTCCTGGTCCCTGTCCCGTGGCAGAGTTCTGATATGAGATACCAATAATCAAATTCAGCATAAACACGGTTAGTCAACATGCACTTAAAACAAATCGAATGGGACTCAATACAGGCCTGCTTCATATCTGCCAGTAAAGAGGTCTTACCAGTTGCCTGCTTTGAGGAGAGGATATAATAATGAAATTTATCAAGCGTTTTTACCATGTTTTAATTGTGATTCTGATATGTAGGCTAAGATTTTCAAGTCCTGATTAGCCCTCTGGCACTTTCTCACTATTTCCAATACAAGTGACTAGAGAAATGTGAGAGCATAATTTCACTGTATAATTTTTTTCATCAAGAGAAGTCTAGTCCTTTCAAATAAATAGTATCTCAGAATTTTTAATATAAAATAACAAAGGCTTGACTATGTTTATAGTAATGAAATACAGACCTCGATAATTTAAAAGGTATTATTTTTTAAAAGATATGATTTTTTAAAAGAATGAATATTTAAAAATATATTGTCCCTATTATATGCAATATCCTACAAAAATCAAGAGGAGGCAGGGGCAATTCCATCAGAATAGATAGGCTGGGTCTTGCTTTCTGTATTTCTACTACTTTTTAACTCTACATGAGCTTAATTTTACATAATTGCTTTGCTTTTGGTCTCCAGATTCTTATTTTTATTTTTTTTAATTCAGTTAAGATAAAACCAAATAGCTTTATATTTTCCAATTAGGATGTAAAACTTTAACAAAACCAGTATTTCATTAATAGATTTAAAGAAGAGGGGAGAATGAAATAGAGGGAGAAATAAATGCTTTTTGAAAAATGCCAAAAGGGATTTCCTTATTTCTTCATTTTGAGAGTGTTATCTGTAATATATCATCTATATCTCACACTGTGTGTTCACCACCCAGAGGCAGTTCTCCTTCCATCACCATATATTTGACCCTCATCTATGACCTCCATCCCCTCTTACCTTATGGTAACCCCTAAACTATTGTCTGTGTCTGAGTTTTTGTTTATTTGTCTTGTTCCTTTGTTGCTTTCAGTTTTATATCCCACATATCAGTGAAACCATATAGTTCTCAACTTTTTCTTTTTGTTGAATAATCCCTATAGAATTATTTGACTCTTTAAAATTATGTGCATGCCTAATTTGAGAGAAAAAATTAAAGATAAAAATTCAGTTCAATTTTTATTTTCTGAAATAAACCAATTTTCTTATATATTCTTAAATAGTTATCAAAAAAAGAAAGAGTATTATCATGGTCCTTGGATTACAAAGAGGATATAGAAATGGAGGTATCAGCCTACAGAAATGCTCCTAATACAAGTCAGTGCTCCCAGGAAACACCAAATTTGCACATCTTGGTGTTATGTATTTATCAAGGCGGGCTCTCATCCATTCAACGGGAAGTTGGGAGTAAACCAGGTTTGGTCAGTATATGCATTTCAGTAAAATATTTCAGAGATGTATAGGAGGTATGGGAAAACTTAAAAATATAAATATATCTTTAAGTAAAATAAGTTCATATACTAATAAACATGCATTTGTGTTTGCCTGTGTGCATCCTTCCTTCTCCTGTTTACATAACTGCAGGATATGTTTACAATGACACACATCTATTTCCAAGTTGTCAGAAAGCCTTGGTAAAGGATCAAACTTCGTTCATGCTACCACATTGTTAGTAAAATAAACAAAAATAACTTACAACCTGCCTTGGTGAAATTTTTGTGAGAATTCACAACCAAAGCAGTCTTTGAGGCTATAAAGAGCAGCCACACTGGGGAAAGAATGACTAAAACAACTTTCCTGTGATGCAGTATGGTGCTAAACAGGACCAGCGTAAATGAGCGGCCGGAAAGACACGTTTCATACTGTTATTTTTGATGTTCTTTCCTGGGCATCAAGAGGGCATGAAGGGGAACTAAAGTAGCTTCCCTCTGCCTTGCTCTTGGTAAATTATTTTATATCTAGACTCATGGTCAATTAGCCATTCCTTTTCTCCTGGGAGAGAGGAAATAATATTGGGTTATAATCAGAGTGCTGGTGGTAGGGCAAAGGCTCTTTTTAAAATGCTATTGAGAGAGAATGAATAGAGAATGCTAGAAGATAGGATAACCTAATTCCAAATTACATGAGCAATGCTGAGAAGTAACTACAAACATGGACTTCATCATAGAGATCCCCAATGTGTGCCTTTCCTGATGAAAAGATCTGTTCCTTAGGGTCTGATGTATAACGCATTTATTAAGTTCATGTGAGTTAAGCTTGAATGGGTGCTAGATAAGAACTGAAAGACACAGGCAAGATTCTCTCGCTCATTCTTGTAGAAATCTAGGTTGGAAAAGCAGGAAGACCTACCCTAAGGGTACCATTAAATGAAAAGAGCCACACAAAATATAGCTCATTACTCCAAGAGCAATCCATCCGTAATAAATTCTATGCCAACATCCAATATGAACAACAATTACCTTCATGTAATGCAGCATTAACAAACACATTTACAAGCTCATTAATTGAAACATGTCCAGGAGCCTTACTGAGGCTGTGAGTCAGAGATCTGATAACCACATTCTGTTCAAATCATATATCTCTAGAACAGAACTTCAAAATCCTGACTGATATGGGCAGTTGACATCGCAACATGCAATATCAAGAAAACTACAGACACTTCATTTTCACCTCAAAGTGTCACACATACACATATCCAGGATTTACAAGGAAAGCCAATGAGTAAAATTCTTTCTCATTGAGTGCATCTTCTTCCAATTTGTGTTCTAGTCTATTGATAGAACTACCAACAATACTGAAGACGCCTAATCCCCTGGATAATGGAGGATGACATCTGGTCACTCAGAGTGCAGTGGGTGGCCCTGACTGAGGCGACACCCAGTATGCTTGCTGGTCCTCATGGTGACAGGACAGTGCTTACCGTTGCAGCCAGCCACATGATTTCTACATTCTTCCTTTTTTTGGCTTGGATATTTTGATGGAGATTTTCTAGTAATCCTTTTAAATCATTTTGTTCTTGAAATTGTGAAATGTCTGGGAGAAAAGGAGAGGAAAAAAGGAAACACTGTGAAGTACTAAGCTGCTAATGAAGTTTTCCTCAATATATCTGCAAAAACAATTTCTATTAATAGAACACCACATGCTATTTGGAGCAGACTATCTGAGGATAATCATACTTATTAATCCCTCCAGTTTTATCCTTTACTTCAAAATATGCCTCGGTTTCCCCCATTCCCTATTCTGTGTAATTGTGATGTCACCTGGCCATATAATATTATTATACTAACAAGGGGAATAATTTTAATGATGATGGCTGCTACCTCACTTTAACCAAAGCATGACACAGATGAGACATGACATATAACCTTCCATTTTTTCCTACTGAGTAGGTAGTCTGAATCAAGGGAGTACATAGGGTTAACAAATCGCTGATTTAGGGCAGCCTCTTATCCAAAATGCTTAGGTGACTTTTTCACGAGGTTCATAGTCAGAGTCACAGTCATTTAAAAAACCTAGTATCCCAACTCGTACGCCAATAATTGCCCCCAAATCTGTGCTAGTATCCTCACGATTAGCTGGTGGTACTAAAAAGCAGTTCCAGTATTAACACAATCAACCAGCTTCTTCAGAATACTGAGATGCCAGAATAAAGCATAATGATTTTTCAAAATAATTTAGTTCAGGGGCCAGGCGAGTGGCTCAGTTGGTTAAGAGCTTGCTCAAGAGTTTGAACTCTGAGCAACAGCAGTTCGAGTCCTGGCCCGAGCTGACCAGCCGCTGAGCTGCCAACCGGTGGCAGGATGGCTCAGCTTTAAAAAAAAAAAAAATTAGTTCATTGTTGACATGAAAATTTTTTTAATCAGCCATTTAAGACAAACTATAATGCTCTTACATATGAATCAATCAAATGGCCATTCTTTAGGCCATTTCTACCCCATAAAGATAGTGCTTTAGTATAGACAGACATGATGTTCCTAAGCAATTTCACCCCCTCTCCCCATGGCATGCTTTTCAGAAGGAAATCGTTTTGATGTGCTTAAAAATTTCAGGCCACTATTTCTATTTCTGTAATGATAAAACTTGCTTTATTCAGAGCACGTCCCTATCAATCCAACACTTTGCTTGCTGCCAATTTCTTTTTTCCACCCTGACAAAAATCTTGCAGGCCACGGAAATTCAGATCTAGTTCCAGAAAGAAGTATCATTCGTAATGACTAGTTTGTGGATTAATAGGTGTGATTTCAAGATATAATGATAGATCCTGATATATAAACTGAAAATCATGGTATACATAGAACATGGATTAGCTTTATACTTAAAATCAGTCACATTACAGGTAAATATAGTCAGTAAGTCTTGTTTCTGCTACTTATCCTGCATTACTTTAAAATCAAATTTAGATAGGGCTATTAAAACTCCATGCCTATCTCCATAGGAGCATTCTTTTTACAAATGGGGTTGAAGAATGTAATCAAAAGGTGAAAAGTACAAGAATGTTCACTGCATTATTCTTTATATTACAAAACAGCAAAGGAATTTGAATTTAATAAAGAAAACAGTAAACACATATATTGATCTAATGTATTATTATATAATAGGTAAGATGAATAAAAAAATGCTAAATGTATCAAAGGGATATACACTAGAACCTAATATGTTGAGCAAAAGAATGCAAATTATAGGAAAACTCCTATAGGACAACAGCAATCATATAAAGTTAAACGTGCAAAGCTATACCATATTTCTATGGTTACATACATTTGGAATAAAAGTGTGTATGAGAATGTAAAACACTAAATCTAGTGTATTGTTTTTATCCGAGGAGGGAAGGCTACAAGCAGGGCATCTCCTCTATTTGAAAATACTTCTTTCTTACAAAATTTGTGAGGCTGAGTGATGGGTTCCCGAGTGTTTGTTGTTTTATGATCTGTTCTTTTTTGTTTGTTGGAAACTTTCATAATTCTTGTTAAAGAAAGCACTGAGCCAAGGTTCCAGGAAAACCATTTCTCATGCCAAACCTGCTCCCACTTTGACGTGTGGTCTTAGGGTGACTTGCTTAACCCTCTGTTCCTATTTTCTTAACTGCAAAATGAGGACAATAACCTTGTCAAGCTTCATCGACTTGCAGTGGAAAACAATTAATAAAAGTCTTGACAGAAGAGGCTGCATTATTAAATTCTGTGTCAACTCTGAAAAGCAGAGGAAGACATTAGTAGCTGTTAAGAGAGTTCATAGCCTCAGATAGGATGCCTACTTTCTCCAGCAAAAGTCAGAATTTATCCTAAGTAGAAAACATGCTCTCTCACACACACAGGTGCACAAAACGGACGTTCATAAACCCAGTGACTGTATTCCCATCACTTCTTGATGGAACAGAATAGCCAAGCTCAGAGTCACTTTTTAGTACCCACTTCCTCCCTTGTTTTGTCCAATGAACTTTCTTCAACAACAGGAGTTGTGAATATGACATTGACATGAATGAAAGACAGGGGGCTGATGAATGAACAGGATTTGGACTGAACTTTCAGCTGATTGAACTGCGATGCTAATGAGGCTAAGGCAATAGCTTCATCACCTCATGGTCAATGACTTTAGGTTGCCAAGATAGTGTTCCAAGATAAAATGGAAATTATGGCTGCCTTCCCAGCACCTATTCCACCCATTCCCACTGCGTGGCAGGCATAAACTTCACATGGGATCAATCACATTCTCACTCAGAGTCAATCAGTACAACCCCATCAGCCTTGAAATCAGAACTAGTTCAAGGCTGTGCATCTAAATCTAAGCCAATCAGAACTTGACTCTGACCACAGCAATTGCTGCAGGGGTATGCAAATGACCTATGCTGTTCCAGCTCAGTGAAGCTCAGGACTCTGAAAAATGGAAGGGAGAAGAAACAATTTTTATCTCTTTGGTTGAGCATGGGAGTAGTTCACAGCCATCCTTTTAGTCCTGAGAAGACTAGAAGTAGGATAAAGTCAACATTAAGAGTAGCAGAGTGATGCAATAGGGTGAGTGTGGGGGGCTCTTTTTAATATTGCTGAGCCACTAAACCAACTATATATCATGGCAGGGATATCAAATATTGGAAAGATAGTTAATAATAGTTAGCTCACAAAGGGCCCTGGCTGTGTTTCCTTCTTAGTACACAGTGCTAGACAGCTCACCCTTACAGTGCTAACACAGGAGTCAGTAAGTGGGAGCGTTCCAATAGACTTGTGTGATAATGTCCTTCTCTTCTGTTTCAGAGAAAGGCCGAGAAATGGACATTGTTATCAAGAAAGAACAGAGAGATTTGAGACAAGAAATTAACACTTGGTCACTCCTCATTTAAAGGTTAAATACTGAAGCATTTCATCTGCTCTTCGATCAAAGTCAAGAGCTCCAAATCATGTATAAAATGTGATGGTGACTCTAAGCCATGGGACATTTTGTGCTAGTGATTTATGGGAGTGCTTATTCTAGTCTATTCACCCCAAATTTAAGTGTCTTAATGCTTTACACAGGCATGAAAGGAGCCTTGAAAAGTTTCTGAGATCCTGAAGCCCAATGGGAAGATCAGAGCAAGAGGAGAGAGAAGCATTCGTATGTGCCCCACTGGAGTTTCCCCAGTTGATAAAAGAGGCCAGGTAGGGTTTCAGGGGAAGTAGACCTTGAGGATTTATTGTGTGTTAGAGTCAAAGCATACAGAACAACTGTTTGAGGGTTTCATCACTATACAAAGAAAATGTGGAGGGAGAAATACACAACACATAGGCCCAAAATAGA